GTCAACTCATATCATACCAATTCTTCAACCAACTGATTGGTTGCAGAAAGGAAAGATATGCATGTTAGCCTAACAAAATTGTAAACATAGTTTCTGATAATGGCTTTGGGAGTAGTACCTCTTTCCTTAGGATTGTATCAGCGGCAATTGCGAGACCAGTTTGTTTGAAGGTTAAAAGCCTAACATGTTATATTTTGTACTGGGCTGTTTACAAAATGTTTCACCGGCCTGAATAACTTGGTTGTGTCTCAAGTTACTAAAATGATTTAGGCTGTTTCTGCTGCTCAAATTCATCACAGAAACTACTCAGCAAGAACTTCAGACTGCAAGTAGCTCAGGTCAGCCTTTTGCCATTCTCCTGTCCATTTACCACAACACAAAGCCCTGCATGGTGTACTATCTGGGTAAATCTTGCTTTTGTCCAACTGATGAAGAGAATAAAAGGCTGTATATTTATGCAATATAAATATTTATATGATATTTTGTGATGGATATGAATAATTTAAATAGCTCCATAGATTAACCAGTTGTCAAGTTTGTGCGTTCCAGCATACACATTCTTCCTGGCCGCTCAACTGTTAAGAGCTTCTAACTGTGTGTATGTGTGTGTGTGTGTGTGTGTGTGTGTGTGTGTATGCTGCAGGGTAGGAGTCGGATATTGTTGAAGAGGTGTATGGACAATGCAGTCAGTTTTAAGTACCCTCTGTATTTACATGACCTGAATCAGGTGTTTTTTTGTATGTGGACTGACAATAGCTTACATTGCTCATCCAACATTACCAACTCTGCAATATAGACCATGTAACAGTGCTTGATGGTGATTTTAGAGGAAATATTTTGTGCTTGAATGTTGATCTTTTTACTAAACAGAATGTGATGCACTTAAAGTTACAATGTTAAAATTATGCTGTCAATTTGAGTTGTGCTTTTATTGAAATCAACATGGTGCATATGCCATTAAGAGTGTTTTAAAAATTAAAGCCGTGTCATCCTAACTTCTGGAAATATTAAAATGGCTCAGAGCGAGACTGACTTCATTACTAAAGAGACAAGCATCATGATGAGATGAGCTTCCGTCAGTTTTTTCCTGATGACCTCATAGAAAAGGTCTTGCATTACTTAGGGGTATACGGTTTGTCATTGTTAAAAACTACTAACAGGTGTAGAAGAGTAAGAAGAGCACCAGAAGCTTTCTACATTTTTCCCTTTATGTGTCTACAGTAAGGCTTCTATTACCATGGAAATGCACTAGGGCAGTAATTGTGGCAGCCTTTCACACTCACAGCCTCATGCACTCAAGAAATTAGAAACACATTCATGTGTGAGCGCACACGCACTGGCCCGTGCACACCCGTAGCTCCCCGTGCTCTCTTTGGGAGGTGCAAAAATAACTGAATGTTTGAAAAATTGGGTTAAAGGGAAAAAAACTGGGTTGAGGAGTGGTCCATTTTTAAATCTGTCACTTTGAACTGACATGTTGTCGAAAATTACTTTTAAAATAGTGCAGCTGGATCCAGATGATCAGAACTAATGTTGCCATAAGTGCAGTGTAGGGAATTTTCTGTTCCCTAGTGGGTATTTTTGCGTAGCGTATGATTTAGTTGAAAATAAAATGTATTTGTTAAAAAGTAAAATGATCCATGTCAAATTAAAGTCATTTCGTTCAGTCGGCTCTGTGTTATTGCACTTGCTGCCTATTTACATGACAAAAAGAATAATGAAAGATCTTTAAGTAGTCTGTAAATAAATTATACATTTTGTGTAGCATAAAATGCATCAAACACCCAATCATAAGTAGCATTTTGCTCCTAGTATCTTAGACAATGGCTGCAGCACGTGAAACATCCATAGAGGAACACAATATAAAGCTATAGGGCCTTATGTCTGTTGTCAACATTGAGAGAACAATGTAATTGTGTCGTACCAGTACTCAAGAAATCCCATTAGCTACTGGGCAGACATGTCAAAGTATTAAGACATGCAGTAAACTTGACTGGCTGCAGCCTGATGGAACAAGGCTGAGAAATGACTGGGGGAATGGGTGGCCCAGAAGGGAGGTGGGGCAAACAGCTGTTGTAGAGAGGCAAGCAGAGATGAACATTGACTTGTATTTATTTCTTTTTTTTTTACCCTAGATTGGCAATGATAAAAGTGATGTTGATAAATACTTGCAAAGCCAGTTTATCAGCAGTTGTATGGCTTGGGGTTGCCGGAGGCAGCATCCAAGCCTGATAACCCCTGAGGCCTGAGGCATGATGTTGGGAAGAGGAGGAGGAGGAGGGGGAAGAGGAGGAGGATGATGATGCAGCTGCTGGGACTCGGCCGTGTGTATAACCCTAAAGCAGCCAGTTGATATTTTGCATGTCCATTGCGAAGTAGGGAAGAAATAACCCCATTGCCACGGGCTTCCCTGTGAACCTGTAACGCTCATTACGCAGCAGGAAATTAAATTGTGGGATGGATGAGACAACTTGGCTATTCTTAGATCCCAAACCACAGTAGGGCAGCGGAAAATATTCAGCCTGCGGGTGGCACCAGAGGAAAGACCAGAGTTTATTTTTCTATACACTTTTACATTTTAAAAAACTCCTCATCCTCAGCTTGTCAGGCTTAACTCAGTCTGTCAGCATCAGGTGCTGGGCTTCATTAGCATTACTTTCCACAGTAACACTGCATGTGACAACTAGTACTTAACATGCAACATAATGTTGCTGTGTCAGCATTTAGACATGCTAACACGAGCATGTCAGTATGTGTTCACTTTAACACATAGAAGTTTAGTGTTGGATGGTATAATGTTAGCGTGGGTGTCTGGTCACTTATTTAAAGGGGTTGACCCTTAACTAAACTCAGTGTTAAGCCAGTAAGATGAACAGTTCTCAAGATATACAAACCACATACAGACAGAGATTTCTGGAGACGGATTTATAGATAGAGTTATAGATGTAAATGTAATAAAACATTGATTATATCATTACTGGTTGTGTGTGCAGGTCTCTGACCCACACTCTTACAGCTGTGCTGTTACCAGCACCTCCAGCCCTGAGGTACATGCTGTGCACAGATCTCTGTTCTCCTCTTCACTTTTAAATTATAATAAGTAGTTTTAGCTGAGAATAGATGTAGACCTTTGAAACATCCACATTATTATGAAACATTAGCTTAATTGAATTTTGTGGTAAAACAATATAATACGATTTAAAAAGAAATGAATATCACAGAAGCAAAAAAATGGCATACTGTAACAAGAGAGAGGACCCATGTGTGGGAGGCTGTGTGCATATGTGCGGGCTATGTGCCTGTGAGACTGCGTGCACCTGGAAAGCACTTGACAGATGGTTACTTCGGCTCGGGCCGAACGTTGCTTCTTTTTTCTCCGTGTTAAGCCTCTTTCATAGATCGAAAGTGTTTCGGTCAGCATTTTGATCATGCCAGACTCTTTTTGAACCCTCCTGATTGTACGCTGCGCGTCTCTAGAGTGTGTTACTCCTCTGCCCATCATTTTCTTTTTGTTTAATTCTGTCGAGAGCTGCTGTGACTGTCTCTGCAATTTCTGCTGGGTTTTTTTTTTGTAAGATTACAGAGCAGTGCATCTAAAATCATTATTTTATGCCACATCATCTCAGTAAATTCCCAAGCTCGAGCATAGATCTGGTACTTTATAGGAGACAAGTAATGATTATGGGGAGAAATGTTTTTCACAATAAGCTACAGTAGCATTTTCTTGCTGCCAAAGAACTGCAAAAAAACAAGTCAACATTATAGCTTGTTTAGACCAGTGCTTTAATCCATACAATGTATAAATAGATGGATGACATGACATCACACCAAATACATTTTCTCAACTTGAGAAAGGTATCACCTTGGTATTTGTTCGAGTGCTTGTTTTTCTAGTAAGTTCGGTTTGGATCAGTTCTTTGAAGCTGTAAAAACAGGGTGAAATGTCATGATAGACAGCTGAGACTGGCTTGTGATCGGTTGAACATGTGTATCAGTGGAACCTCACTACCGCAGCTCCCTTTGCAATCTCTACCGCTTAGATTCTGGATAGAGGAAGGGAGTGGAAACACATCATCTGGCTTTATATATAATCTATGGATTATATTGTGCTAGTTTTTCTTTCAGCCCCCGATGGTGTTGGTAACTTAAAGAGTAGTGGTGCAGACAAATATTGTTCATACTGACTCTGGAATCATTCTCTTTTCATCAAACATGCTAAATCATTTCCCATATGCTATCACCTGAGTATATGTCTCACTGCAGAGATCAGGCCTAAACTATAACAACAGCAGCACCACAGTTGCCAAAGAGTGATGAATCCTTCTCATTTTATACCCGCTGCTCCGCCTACAAATAAAACAGATCTTTCATTACTGTTTGATTTGTGTCAAATCAAATATCGTGTTTTTTCTGGGCCCTTTTGGTAAATCCTGATGCATTAAAGTCATTTCACAAGTTCCCTTGTAGATTTATAAATCAATATATGCAAAAACAAGACAGCGCCCCACAGACATACTGGTGTTGAGTTGTTACTGTATTTCCCTGAGAAACAGCTCCTTCTAAATTTAGCTTGTGCTCTGCAGCAGATGTTCCTGCCCTTTTTTGATGCTGTGGGTAATAATCCTTAATATTATTGTTGTTTGAAACTAAATGAGGCTTTAATGCACTCTGATTCCATCTTACATCACTCATTAATTATTCTATAAAAGTCCATAAATTACTTTTGGTTGCCTTTTAATTTTTTTCAAGATGAAAAAAATCCTTATAAGGATTTAAATGAAATTTGTAGTCATGGTGAAGGACATTTGCGAAGCCTACACTTGTAACAAACTGCTAACCTGACTCTGTGAACCTGTTCATTCTTGTTTAGCAACAAGGTGTCCTCACTCCTTTATTTCCTTCCCATCAGTTGCTGCTCTCTGTTTAAAGCCTCATTAGAGTTGTGTGAGACATTTGAAGCCTTTGTCACTGATCTTCTCCTTCTCTCCCTTTCTTTTCAGATGGTCACAAGAACAAAGAAAATATTTGTGGGTGGCTTGTCAGCCAATACAGTAGTGGAAGATGTGAAGCAGTATTTTGAACAGTTTGGGAAGGTAAGGCTCTTTTTCTTATTATTAGCACCCTGCGTAGTGTTGTCCCAATAAGCAGAATTTCAGCCCTCTTTTGATTCCACTGCCCACTGTGTAGTTGAACGTTTTATTTACGTTCATTTTTCATCTTTACGATAAGGCAAAACAGATGTTGATTTGATAAATTAGAGCTTGAACTTCACAATCAGTGTACAGCAATCAGCCATCGCTCCCCAACTGTTTTACTGTGGCTCAGACCACACAGCCAGCACTCCAGCAGTAGCCAACACTAATTTGAACCTTAAAGGAAACCAGCCAGCTCCACTCTGGCTCTTTTCCTGACAGTAAGACAAATAAATTTTGATTCCGACAAGAAAACAACGGAAGAAATGGCAACGGATTCACAACCACCATGCACGATCAACAACAACATGCATTGTGGGTGCAGAGTAAACAAGCAATGACAACCAGCTGCCATGATATATAAATAAAAAAAATAAAAAAACAACAGGAATGTTTCTTCTTATGGAATATGGCATGATGTTAAAATCAAAAAGCATATTGGAATCGAAGCTGGAGTTCTGATATTGTGACAATATGATTCCAGGGTGTTCTGAAAGAAATATCAAATGCACTTCATTCATATTCATATTCAGCAGTTTTTTTTCTGTCTGCTGAGGCAGTTTCTACATGCTGTTCTCATGACCAATACCCCCAGCTGTGTGAGGCATATATGAACACACTGTTACACAAGGACATGCATAGTATACGAACACACACACACACACATGCACATACTCACACATACACACGGGCGTGCACAAGCAAACAGGCTTTGATACAGTGGCAGCATTTCACAGATAATTTCCCCACACTGAGCGCAGATCCATTTCCCTCATGTCATATTCCACATCAGTCAAGGTCACCTTCAGCTGATACAGTTTCTCTAACATCAGCACTTGACCTTGAGTTTAAACAATTTCACTGAGGATGGATTTTTCATGGGCACATAATGTACCATGTCCTGAAGGAGACAAAAGAGCTGTTATAAATTAATAGAAACTGACAATATGCAACCACCTTTCCCCTATAAAACCCAGTGTTGTGTGTGGTGAAGGACTTTGTTTTGCGCTCTTTTTTTTCTGGAAAGTGGCGTTGAAGACCCCACAATGGCCTGGTCTGCCGTTCCAAATAAACCTTATTTGCACAATAGAACGCAGCGAACAAATATCCAGCACGACTTCGCAATCATATGATCTGAGGAAAGGCTTGAAATGATTTTCGACTTGATTGAATGACATAATTGACTTGATTATACAAAGTTTTTTCCCTCCTTGAGGAATCCTCAAATGCTTAGGAGGAAACCAACAAATCAGACTGATTGAGTGAGATTTTGTGCATGTTTCTGCGTGTGCTTTTATAGCCTACTTGTGCATGCTTGGATGTGTCTGCCATACTGCTCTTGCCATGCGTGAGTGTGTCAGCGATTAAGTGTATTTATGTGGGTGCATGATTAGGGTTGTGTGCGTGTGTGTGTGTGTGAACGAGCAGGTTCGAGTGTCTTCAGCGAAAAAGGAAATCAGAGTAGATATTGAGGGCTGTGGCAGACAAGATGCAGAGCAAAACGAGGTATGCTTCTGCGTGTGTCCCTCCATTCTGCTTTTCACATTCCTGGGATTTATTAAATAACCTGCCTGTCACTGCAACCTACCATTATCGCCACACACACACACACACACCACTCAGAGGACTTATCCATAGAAGGGAAAAAAACAATTAATTGAGTTTCCCCTCCATAGGATCTTTGTTGCAGTAAGTGTGTCAGTCATCAGTTTGTCTGTCTGTCTGCGTGTCAAGGGGGACATTAGCCAGCATGGTGGCAGGGCAGATACTCATTTACATTTGTGGGAAGCATGTTTTGAAGCACTTATCAATCATCAGGCAACTACAGCTTAAAGCACCAGCAAATATTTCTTCTCACTTGGAACAAGCTATTTCAATGATATGTTGTAGCAAGTACTCTCTCTCGCTCTCAATGTGTGTGTGTGTGTGTGCAGCATAGGCCAATTAGCAGGATGTGGTCTGCAGAGATGGCGGTGGTTGGGAGGCAGTGGAAGGGGAAACAGCTGGTGTGGCCACAATTGGGTCACAGGTTCAGTCTGTAACCTCCACACCTCCCCTCCCCTCCGCTCCCCTCCTGCTTCAGCCCCTTCCTTCTGTCTCCATTCTGTCAGGGGGGGAGAGGTGGCGTTTGTTATGGCGAGAGGCTGACAGCTCTCATGCACATCAGTCTCACTGCCACTCTCCCAGCCGTCACCATTAGGAAAGAGCACATGCCCGAGCTTGGCGCAACTTCAGAGGAGCTGCTCCACAGTCGGAGCCCCCCTGTTTCTTGTTTTTTTTCCACCTGCATTACACGCTTAAGGTGTGCATTTGAAGTGATTGTAATAGTCATTTGAATGGAGTTGAAGTGTGGTTATGTTTGACCGATTCTAATGCACCTCAGATGGATCCTATTACCTGCCCAATAGTAGCCACATCCTGCCTTCTATTTTTTTTCCCTATCTGGCAGCACACTGCACCTAAGCCCTGCAAGCCAGATGAGACAATCTTATCAGCACTGCCTGGCCTCCCTTTATATTCAAGGACTCTTCACTGGAGGCTGCTGCTATTTCTGTCTTGCAATAAAGTCAAATTAATCAGGGTGCTGTTTGTGCTATTATGTGCACACTTAAAAATTGTAAGAAAAGACAATCCTGGCTTATAGAGATCACATTATTCCTGCTCATATGACAGCCTCACTGTTCTATTTTTAATATTGCAATGTACATCATTTATAAGCATTTGAATGCCGTTTTCTTCATAACCAGATATGGTCTGCACAGGTAACCACAATGAAAACATATTTTTTTCTTTTGAATAATTACCACATATTTTATATTATGTACCACACATAAAGTCTCCTGAATCATTTTTTATATTATTTTTTTATTTTATAGTATATATTATGCATAAATTATCTTAGATTAATCTGATTACAATTAAGATTATTGATTATATTTGTTCCTGATATTCAAGGCATTTACATATGTATTGATTTGTCTGGCCAAATCCAAAGAAACTCTGTTTTATTATCATATGCAACAAAGACAGTATCAAATACTTTGGGTAATAATATTTTAGAGCCTAGGACACATTTGTGCTTTACTATTATTATTTAAGAATGAAAATAGTTAATTGACTTATATTGCAACAGTTCTTATAAAGCCTACCTTGACCTCTTCTGACACTGTTTGGCCAAATGTCAGAATAAGGTTAAGAGCAGTGTCAAAATGACTTGTGTTCTAGGGGATTAACTTAGAGGATAATAATACACTTTTCATGTAGCTAAAGTGATGTCCTTCCATCCCGCTGCACCAATGCTTTGTGGAAATATGGAATGAGTTGTCCTCTTACTTTCCAATAAATCAAACACCTGTTAACAAAACACCTACCACCCTGTTATGTCCCACTGAGGCTCGGACTTGATTAAAGACGGGCGAATGTGTGATGACACCTTTATAAATTTGGATGTGACGAACCAGTGGAGTCCTGCCTGGGCATGAGAGGAGCTCTTGCAGCAATTTAAGGCATAATTAGCTCAGGTGGCTAATGCTTCCTCATTGGTTTATTGTAATCAGCTTTGAGTGCATCTCATAGTGCCTTTATTTGGCTAAGCTGAAGCATCTCCTGCTCACTGACTCCTGTCCTTTGGTGAGCATGCTTAGAGCCGACTTTTAGTTTCATCAGAGCCACTTGCTTCCATGTCGCTGGACCGCCACAATCGCCCCTTTATGTCCAGGCTGTCCTGGTTCTCATGCTCCACTGGTCCAGAGCCAGATCCTAGAGGTGGAGCTGAAAGGGAGGAGGAGGAGGAGGAAGAGTGAGAGGAGGGTGAGGAGGAGCTTAACCCTTTCACTGCTACTGGGCTCAGGAGGAATAAAAGTAGAGAAAGAAAGGTCACTACAGAGTTCTAAGACGAGACAATCGTCTTGTGGTGGAAAAAAAAAGATGATAAGACTGATGACACCTGTTGGAGGACACTGGAAAGATATGTGAGAGTGTCCTGTCCTCTCCTATAGCAGTCTTTTCTGCAGTGTTTCACCTCTGGCCAAGGAAGCGTCTGCATACTTCTCTCATACTTTCACTGAGAGGAAGCAGATGAGGGAAGAAATGAAATCATAAAAGCATCACAAAAAGATCCCTTTGTTAGTGCAGGAAATTTGTTCTGGGGCTCTGGTAACTTAATACCACAGCTGACATTTTGCACGGCCTTAGATTTTATAAATGGCAGAGAAATAACTCTGCCTGACCATCTTTAAAGACTAGGAATTTATTTTACGACTATTACTTAGGCCTTTAACAGAACTGGTGGTTTCCAGGTATTTAAAGTCATTAATAATTTAATATGTTTAGCAGAACTTTTCTCTTGTTTTAATATCCTGATGTTGTAAAGTTGCTTTGTCTCTTGAAAGACTTAGACTTGAGATTCTACCTTACCTTAGGTGGCAACACATACATAGGGCTTTACCTGCAATCTGTGAAGTTGGACGTTAAGTGCACTTTGAACATGATGCAAACTTTGAAGAAAGCCAAACTCAAATACACTCTTTTGTCAAATCGCAAACGTGATGATGATTAATGTAGAAAAAAATAACTTTACATGAGCGAAAAGAACCTAATCAAAAGGCTACAGTCCTTCATTCCACTCCTCCCGCAAGTGCAGGTGCACATTTGCATTTCATTTACATGGTAACTCACAGTGACCACCACTACACCAACGTCTCGGTGTCCATCATCTGCTGACATTCTGTGATTGTTTCCTCTCTGCTGCGACTTACCCAATCAGCAAAGGATACAGTCTGGTTCCAGTGATTAGAAGGAGTGATCAGAGCAGCACTGATGGAGCATGTGCCTTACAGTGGAGATTTAGCCAGAGGCTTCAATCTCATTGCAGTCACTTGCACTTAGTGACTGAGACCAGC